TAACCGACTGTTTTTGTAACTCATGTGTGTTTTTAACGTAAACTTGTGTGTGAATTAGAACTTCGTTTAGTTCTCACATGCTGTGTGACAGCCGCTTTCTGTCTGTGTGCTTCGGATGTGTGCGCTCAGAAAACCATATATCAGAAGTTTAAACTCATATGGTTTAAACCGCATGATTTCAGCGCGATAAACATGATAATCAGAACCATAACAGATGTTTTTAGGAGGTCTGAGCTGTAATGGCGCAGCTCTATTCTGGAAAAGGGGGCGGAGAGCAGCAGCTCATTTGCATTTAAAGAGACAGGCCCGAAAAACAGCGTGTTTCTGCTTCCACTCAAAATAGGCATTTTCAAAATTATATAATAAATTATCTGTGGAGTATTTTGAGCTGAAACTTCACAGACACATTCTGAGGACATCAGAGACTTATATTACATATTGTAAAAAGGGGCATAATATGTCTCCTTTAAGATGATTTGTGGAAGGACGTACAAAAAATACCATAGTACTACACGGTTCAGTAATTCAGTAATCACCTTAAAAATGACGAAAATGTACCTTAGTACTGCCGTCGCTTTATTGTGTGACAGCTGTGCAACAGTTTGTATTTTCATCTCTTTTTCTCTCTGTCTCTGGCTTTCTCTCTGTAGTGCCCACAGTGCCCCCTACTACGCCCGCTTCCTCCACCGCGCCATCAGACGAGTGTGATGATGACCAGGCCAACTGCCATAGTGGAACAGGTGATGACTACGACCAGACAGGTGCTAACACCCGCCTGCAGAGACTGCACCCTTACTTACTACACTATGCTAATCCCAGTAAACTAACTGCCTCCCTTGCTTCGGCAAATATCAGCTCTTCTACCCTTTTTTGGGAATGTTATTAGTAATCACTCCTTACACTATGATCCTAATCGTTTCTTTGCCCATAACCACACTAACCATGCTACTCCTACTAGAAGAGAAGTATACTGTGCATGGTATGCAAACGTTCTGTATGCATCTAATATTGAAATAACCTACTACATTTGCCAAATGCGCTCTACTTGACCTTCCATTTCATTACAAAAGCCAGACAGTGATGAATGAACGGCGAGCGATATCAAATGCAATCTCAACTTCTACTTTGTGGACTGCCAAAAGTTAAGATCGTTTTATACAAAATTGGATTAAAAATGCAAATTTACTGTATTTAGTTCTGCGATGGTAACTGGATGCCTAGCACTAATGTAAAACTGCAATGTAGCAAGGTCATGTTACAACATTGCAGCATACTACAGTTTAAATAGTCCATTATCGTTGAATACTACACTGCTTCACGTACAATATATTTAAAAATGTAAGCAGTATACAGTATATACTGTGTAGTATGCATAATTCACTATGTACATACTAAGATCATATATATATCAACTGCTGCTTAAATGTCTACATTTACTGTTTGATTACTACATACTGCTTTAGTTAAAGGAAATAGTATGCAGAATACAGTATATACTGTGTAGCATATAGCATGCAGTATGTTATTATTCCATTTCACAGTTCATACCGTTTCACATACAATAAAAAAAAACGTTGGTATTAAACAGTAACAGTACTACACAGTATGTAGTATACAGTAATGTAGTACTCCATTCCAACCTAGCTTGCACTTGCCTTGGTATTCATGTTTGACTGTTCAAGTTTCTTCTGCTCTCCAGTTGCTAATACTAACACTCCATTCAAAATTCTGCCTCTAATCTCCTCTGTGTTCACTTCAGTGCAGTCTCACAGAGTGTGTGTTGCACAGAATTACACTCCCCTCTGCTAAATGATAAAAGTAAAGGTTCCACATGAACAGAAACGTATTTGCATGTCTCATCTGGCAAAGCTCGTTTTAAAAATGCTAAGCAAATACAAAGAAGGGAATTAGCACAGTCAGATTCTTACCTCCCGATAATATCCAAATAAAATATTAGCCAGTGTCTCACTTTAACATTTCACCTAATGGCCTTCACTGTGTCCACACTACAGGTGGAACCGCTGCGCCAGAGACGACCACAGAGATGAGCACCGTTCCAGGTGAGAAAGGTACTTGCCTCTAATTCTATCCGTAATATCTTTAATTTTCCAGGATTTTCTTTAATTGTGCTAATGCTTACTCCCTTAAAGGTACGGTGTGTCATTTTTGCAATGTTAGCATTTCCCAGAACACTAAGTGAAAATAACAGTATTTTTTTAGTGATATGCTATTTACACTAAGTGCAAATAGCTATAGATAGTTAAAATAGCAGGATATTGTTATTGCAAATAGTGTCAATTATCTGCACCTCAGCATTGTAATACATTATAAAACAGTGTGCAATAATGCCCTCCCTACACCTAACCTTACCCGATACTTTATTTTCAACTTTTTGATTATTTCCTTCATTTTTATTAAAAATAAATGCTTTTCTGATGTGATTTGAAATTTGAAAAGGAAGATTAAAGTTTGCCAAAAGGCAGATTCGAACCCGGGTCGATCGCGTCAAAAGGAGTATGACAAATGCTTATCATCTGCACCACTGAATCTGACAATTGATGACCGTCTTTTGTAATGTTGACTATCCCAATCACACGTTGGTGGGCGGAGTTAGTATAAATAGCTTCTGCCAACAAGGCGGGCTATTTGCACTTAGTGTAAATAAACACTCCGATTTTTTTTTTATTCCCAACAGTTAAAGAGTTGCCCACAGAAAAAAAACAGCACCCCCACTTCCCGCGCCTATGTATGTCAGTCCAACATGGGTTTGGTGCAGGACTACCTGTTTTTCTGAACAACAGAAAAAAAAATTATGTATTTGAGGAGGGCCAGTAGCAATTTTCTTCAGAAAATCATAATAATAAACATTTTTGCAATTCTGTTTGGTGTCTCTAGCAGCACAGAAATTACACACTGCACCTTTAAGAAAGAAAATTCTCATTGTATGTTTTTTTTGTTCTCTGTTTGGTTGTTGAGGCTATTTGATTATTAGTGTGTAAACTCAAAAATGAGTATGTAATCTCATTTCTGAAGTGTTCTTGTGAAAATCTATAAAGAGCCCCTCTGATTTGCTAATTCAGCGTAGTGACTGATTAGCCATTCAAGACTGCTCACTAATGGACAAATGAGAAATGCCCCTTAACTGACCTTGTCTAATTAGCCTGTGTGTGTGTGTGTGTGTGTGTGTGTGTGTGTGTGTGGTCTTGGTTGGTTAACATTGAGTAGATGTGTGTGCTTTCTATTATTGGATGTGGTTTATTTGCTATGACAAGCATTCAAAACTGGTAGAACGTTCTGGACTGTGGTGAAACGTATCCTTGCACTGTCTTCACTGCGACAGCCCAAATCCATTTAAAGATGGAAAAGAAGAAATAACTTTTAATTGGAAACTGGCATTTTTTTTTTTTAAAGCGGCAGTGGCTGCATGCCTGAGCTGTGGCTTTTAATGGGAAATTCTTTCCTTCGCATTCAGTGAGCAAATACCCTGCAAAACTCGTGGAGAATCCTGGCATTATTAAGGGAGCGGAGCGCTTGGCTTTATTAAACTGTCTAGAAAAGCAGCGCTGAGGCTGTGCAGGCACCGGCATAGCTGACATCCTAGACGTGCTTCTGCTATTCTGTCCGTCTCAATTCTCTCTGCTTTTCCTGCTGTCTCTCTCTTTGGCTTTCTATCTCTCAATCAATCTAACATCGTTAAATCCCTCCCTCCTTCTTTCATGTCAATCTCACTTTCAAAGCTTCATTGTTTTGTGTGTTCTGTATTCTCGCTCAAGATCTAGCTATATTTGGAGTATGAATGTGGATTTGGCTTAGGCACGACAGAATTTGGAATGGATTTGGAAATGCTCATGCTTAAATGATGGTGTTTTCTGATTGTTAAATAACTCTTTATTGCCATCAAGTGGACAGCAGATATAAAACATGTTGCTTTGGCCCTGTGTGGAGTCTTCAGAACATTCAAATGTTATTATATACACAACTGTTCACAAATGTAGGGTCAGTAAGATTTTTTATTTTATTTATTTATTTTATTTTTTATTCATTCATGTATTTATTTATTTTGAGAGAGAGAGAAAGAGAGAGAGAGAGAGAGAAATTAACACCTTTATTCAGAAAGGGACAGTAAAGACATTTATAACGTTATAAAAGCTGTCACTCTTTTAAAAGGTACTAATATGTACTCTTTAGGTATGAATATGAACCTTTAATATAAAAATATGCATCTTTTAGGAGTAAATAAGGTACAAAAGAGTACATTTTGAAAAGGTTCCATCCCAGTGACAGTTTTTGTACCTTTTTTTCTCAGTGTTCAAATAAATGCTGTTCTTTTGGACTTTCTATTCATTAAAGAATCCTGGAAAAAAAATATATAATGGTTTCCACAGAAATATTGTGCAGCACGACTGTTTTCAACATTGATAATAATCAGAAATGTTTGTTGAGCAGCAAATCAGCATATTAGAATGATTTCTGAAGATCATGTGACACTGAAGACTGGAGTAATGATGCTGAAAATACAGCTGCGCATCACAGAAATACATTACAGTTTAACAGAGATTCACATAGAAGATAGTTATTTTAAATTGTAATAATATTTCACAATATTACTGTTTTTACTGTATTTTTAATCAAATAAATGCAGTCTTGGTGAGGAAAAGAGACTATTTTCAAATACATTAAAACATCTTTCCAACCCCAAAACCTTTGAATGGTGGTGTACATATTTTTTTTTCATCATATTTACTCATATATTATATTTGTTGTAGTATATTAAAATGCATTAATGTAAATAAAATCATAGCAATATTAATTTTGTTATTAAATATAAAATGTAATAATTCTAAAATATAAATAATATTTTCTGTGTGTGTGTGTGTGTGTGTGTGTGTGTGTCACTGCTTTAGTAATATAAAATATAAAAGTGCATATGTTAATAATCTTCCCCAATGTGTGTGTGTTCTCTCTGTAGCGTTCCTGTGGTTTGCCTGTGACTTTGGCTGGGCCAGTGATCCTTCATTCTGTGGCTGGATGTCAGAAGACAGCGGTTTCAGGTGGCAGATCCAGTCCAGCGGCACCCCGACTCTAAACACCGGCCCAAACATGGACCACACTGGTAAGAAAAAAACTGCACCCATTGGCCTCACAGCATGGAAAGTGTGAAACATCCGAACCTCACATTCTTTCTCTCCGTCTGCCGTAGGCGGATCAGGGAACTTCATCTACACACTGGCAACAGGTGCTCAGGAGACAGAAGTGGCTCGGTTTGGGAGTATTGAGCAGCAAATCAGCATATTAGAATGATTTCTGAAGATCATGTGACACTGAAGACTGTAATCAGTAATGATGCTGGAAATACAGCTTTGATCGCAGAAATAAATTAGTTTAACATATTCACATAGAAAATAGTTATTTTTAAAATGTAATAACATTTCACTGTTTTTACTGTATTTTTAATCAAATAAATGCAGCTTTGGTGAGAAAAAGAGACTACTTTCAAATACATTAAAACATCTTTGCAAGCCCAAACCTTTGAATGGTGGTGTACATAATTTTTTCATCATGTTTACTCATATATTATATTTATTGTACTATATTAAAATGCATTAATGTAAATAATATCATAGTATTATTATTAAATATAAAAGGTAACCATTCCAAAATATAAATAATATTGTGTGTGTGTGTGTGTGTGTGTGTGTGTGTGTCACTGCTTTAGTAATATAAAATATAAAAGTGCATATGTTAATAATCTTCCCCAATGTGTGTGTGTTCTCTCTGTAGCGTTCCTGTGGTTTGCCTGTGACTTTGGCTGGGCCAGTGATCCTTCATTCTGTGGCTGGATGTCAGAAGACAGCGGTTTCAGGTGGCAGATCCAGTCCAGCGGCACCCCGACTCTAAACACCGGCCCAAACATGGACCACACTGGTAAGAAAAAAACTGCACCCATTGGCCTCACAGCATGGAAAGTGTGAAACATCCGAACCTCACATTCTTTCTCTCCGTCTGCTGTAGGCGGATCAGGGAACTTCATCTACACACTGGCAACAGGTGCTCAGGAGACAGAAGTGGCTCGGTTAGTGAGTCCATCCGTGTCAGGCCAGGACTTGGACCTGTGCTTGTCCTTCTGGTATCACATGTTTGGCTCTCACATTGGCACACTACACATCAAACAGCGCAGAGAAAGCAGCCAGGGCTCAGCTGATGTCCTTTACATTGATTACATTTTAAATATGTTTCAAATTTAATGTTGGTGTTTATCTTTATTTCAGGTGGTAATTGAAAGCGTAGTGGAGAGGAAGAGTTGGGGAGACATTGCTGTGGATGACATCAAAATCTTAGACAATCTGAACATGGCCGACTGCAAGGGTGAGTCATTTAGACCATTAGAGTGCAAACTACACTGAGACAAATCAAGACTGTGTCATACATCCTATGGCTTAAGATATCAGATATTTACTGACACTGGGAGTGGTGATAGACCTAAGTCAGGTTAGACACCATATTGAATCGAATGCGGATGAATATGAGGCTGTGAGGGACAAATGTACAATTTGGCGCACAAGTGGCCTACAATTTGGCCTACATCGTGTAATTTTCACAACTCCCAACTTTTAACACTGTTTTATGGAGGGTTTTTTTTTTTCTTTTTTTGTGTACTTTAACCCCTCACAGCCTCATTTTAATTCCTGTCAAATGTTAAATATGGTGTGACACTGACTAAGGTCTATGTATTAATATATTTAAATAACGTATTTATAAATCATTAAAATAATTAAATTTTATAACTCCAAAATTTTCATAATTCAATAACTGGGTTTACACTTTATTACCAATGAATTTTACTCCAGGTTACTTTTTTAGTCAATTGTGATTACAGTTTGTTTATTGTTTTTTTTTTTATTATTATGAATTTATTTATTTTCATTTTTATTTTTATTCCTAAATAGCTATTTCTGCCCAATAAAATATTTTAGAGCTTGACAAAACTAAAATAAATAAATAAATAAAAAATCTATTAAAAAAAAAACAATTACTTAATAGTTTCTGTTACTTCTAGAAATCCTTTTTTTTTTTTTACTTCTCTCATATATCCATGTGTTCCAAGACCATGACAACCCTGGTCCTTAAATATAATGGTTAAAATAAGAAATATATTTTGAACTTTTTAACGTAATTTTTAGCTGTTGTAGCTTTTAAAGCTTATTTTATAAAGTCTTATTTTAAATAATTTTAAGCCATATTGTGGCCCTTTGGAAGTGTGCTGAGGCCCCTGGTTAAGAACCCCTCACTTAGATGACAATACTGGACAATATACATTTCCTGACTGTTTTATGCCGTCCATTTATAGACCCAGACGTCCCAGCAGAGCCAATTCTACCTGAGGACAACTTCAATGAAATCAGTAAGTGGCTTTCTCAAATCTGATCCACACAAACACTGAGTAAATGTTGGATCACTCACAAAATTAGTTACTAAAGAAGATGAAAATTAGTATTTCTATTTCAGTTTTTTTACTTCACAGTTCCTTGACGTTTCTTTGTGAAATTTACTAGCAATTTCTAAATGAAGATTGTTTCTATGCCATTTCTTGTTTCAGTGTGTCATTGAATGTTTGGAGGGACTTCATATCACATTGCATTATACAGCACACATTGGTCAAGTAATCCAGATCATATAAAATCCGAAACCAATATCTAAAACAGGTTTGCTCATCTGTTCTCTTCCAGTCGTGGACATCACAGACTTCCCTGAGATTGTGGAGAACCACGAGATCAGCGGCGCCGGAAACATGCTGAAGACGCTGGACCCCATCCTCATCACCATCATCGCCATGAGCGCGCTGGGGGTCTTCCTCGGCGCCATCTGCGGCGTGGTCCTCTACTGCGCCTGCTCCCACAGCGCCATGTCCGACAGGAACTTATCCGCCCTGGAAAACTATAACTTTGAGCTAGTGGACGGCGTCAAGTTAAAGAAGGACAAGCTGAACTCACAGAACACGTACTCAGAAGCGTGAGGCACCGACCAATCAGAGGGAACCTCTCCTCAGGGAGGGCGGGGCTAAAACGGACTGCCGATGCCTTCCGGTTGGAGGAGGACAAGGCTCTGTGGTTCAGCGAACCAATGGGAGGTCTGGGACTGAGCCATGCTTTTCTCAGGAGCTGCAGTGAACGGAACCTACCAGTAGGGGACACTGTGTACAAAACATTGAATACAAGGATTTAAAAGAAACAAAAAACAAAATGAAAAATAAGAATATGTACAGATGATTGTTATTTTACTTTATTTTATTGTTTTGTATTATTTTTGGTTGATCATTTTTACAATCGGATGCTGGTGTTGAGACCAATATATAATAATGTTATAGAGTATTTATCTTTTTTTTCTAGGAGGAAAAAAAAAATCATTTATTTTTTATTTTAAAAGATTGTTTTGAGCTTTAAGGAGATGTGTAAAAAACAAACAAAAAACAAAAAAACAAAAAACAAATGAACCATATATGGCCAAGGGAAGGTAATTACCCCATGGTAGGGCAAAGATCAAACGGGGTGGAAAATCATCCAGCCCTGTTGCATTCTGGGTATGGTTCAGTCAGTGCCTTTGGTACATCTTTTTTGGCCTCCTCTGTTGTTTTTGTGGTGTTTCAACCCTTTAGTTCTCAAAAAAGCTGTCGGTCGAATCTGCAAAACAAAACCCGGTAAATTCATAGCGCTTTAATGTTGAAGTCCTGCATATTGTACATAAGTTTTAATATATTTTAACGCCCTTTTCAAAGAAACGAGTAAAAGGACAAAAAAAGAAAGCTGCAGTATCCCTTTTGTCTTGGGTTGTATGTTGTAAATACAATCGTCCGACTGTTTTGTGAAAGTGAAAAGTGTGCTTTTTTGGTTCCGTCCTGTTTTGGTTGTTTTGCTACGCTCCCAAAAAATGCAACCCTTGTTCAAAACAGATGTTAATACAAATCCAGCGCACATTTCATCATGGGAACAGCATTCGCACATACAGTAAATGCATTTCATAGACGTCCGCAGTGGCTCGGTTGAGTTTGGATTACAGATTTATAAGCGAACATCATATCCTCTATAATCACATTCAGAATGTCTGTTTTTCCAGCATACCAAAAAAAATAAGAAAAAATTGATGATCATCATTGCCTTGATCGCTTTGATTTGAAGTGAGCGGCCTACAGTTCAACCCTCACACATTTCATCAAAGCGCTTCTTTCACCATCCGTCGAGCTTGAATGCATGTGCTCTTGAATAAAACTCTCATTTTAAGAGGGGTGCTATTAAATGTTCTCACGCATCGCTTCGCAAGCGTTCTGTCATTGGCCTTGTGTGTGTACCAAAGGACTGTTGCCTCAAACTGCAGGGTCCAATCGCAACAACCCATTCTCTTGAGACGTCTGAAGACCTCGGCTACGATGCATTCTCATGGGTTATCATTCGGTCAACAGTTTGGATTCTGGACAGCTGGATGGATCTGACTTTAGCAACGGCATACACATGCAGTTTAACCGATAACAGGGCTTCACTGCTGACAACACTAATGTTTTCTACCGGTTTCTCGGTATGTTCATGTACTGTGCTGTATACTGTGGCAAACACTTTGGTTTTCCCGTTCCGAATCCTCGTGTCGATGCTACATGTGTGTCAGCTGAAGCTGGATAAAGGTGACTGGCTTCAGTCGGGATTCTGTGAGAAAGCATCCTGTAGCATTAACGAAAAAGAAACAATGTTGCACTGATCAATATATTTGATGAAGTTTATGTGTTTATAGCATTCATTTGTAAAAAAGACAACTGAAATAAAAAAGACAGTGTTCATTTTTTAATATAGTTTCAGAATATGTAATACGATTCTGAAATGGTCAATTATCGAGATGTTTTCATTATTGAAAAAGGTATACAGATGTCCTATAGTAAAGCTCCCGTTTACCTGACCCCGATTCTCTTTTGCTTTTTGTACTGTCGTTGAAATTTTGTGCTGATTTGTTTTGTTTTTGTTTGTTTTTTACAAGAAGATGCGGAAGCAAAGAAAACTTTTATTTTCAATACTGCCTCTGTACTTTGCTGTTGTAGGAAGGGGGAAAATTAATAAAAACAGCAAGGCCTTAAAATGGATATCAATGTTTTGTATTGGAACATCTGCATCACAGAAGAAAAACTCCTCCACATCTGCTCTGTTTCTGATCAAATCAGATCGACTGACATATTCCAAAGATTCGGCTCCAATAAATGTGTTCTGAAACTTTGGCTCTTTTTATAATTTAGTTTTCTTTTGTTCATTTTTTTAACTATAGATTTTAATCAGAAAGACATGCAAAGAGCATGCATGTGTAAAGAATGGACATATTGAGCAACTTGATGACAAAACAAGCACTAGCATGTGCTAAAGTGTTTACAGTGTACTTTTGACATATTTACATCATATAAATGTACACTTTTTGTGATTTTTAGGGCTTATTTTACACAAAAGAAGAATGGAAAGTATTCAAATGAGGCACAAAAGTGTCCAGCATCCACCAGCAATATCAGTATATTTCTAACCAGAGGGACTCGATAGCAATGTCTGTGAACGTACACGCTGTTGTGTGTATTGTGTTAATTATTTGATTAGTTATATTACATAAATGATCATTATTTGAAATAATAATGAGCAAATGAAATCACTGGAGAAAGCTTTTTACTCCAGTCAATATTTCTCGGGGCTTAAAGTTAATTACTGTAGACATATACTTTAAACAAGGCATTTGAGCATTTTACTGATATAAAAAAAAAACCTTTTGATAATTGATAATGAACATGTTTTGATACTTTAGTGGGGCATGTCGTCACAAAACAAGTGCACTTAATTGTATTGAACGTGCTAATACTGAATATTACAGAAAATGGTAACATAAGTTTAGGGACCAGTTCTCACAGTTAACTAGTTGCTTATTAGCATGCATATTACTAGCATATAGGCTGTTTATTAGTACTTATAAAGCACATATTAATGCCTTATTCTGCATGATCATATTTTAGATCCCTTAATCCACCCCATACCTAAACTGAACAACCTTACTAACTATTAATAAGCAGCACATTCGGAGTTTATTGAGGCAGAAGTTGTCGTTAGTTAGCTAATCGTGAGAATTGGTCCCTAAACTAAAGTGTGAACCAGAAAAGATCATTTATCTTAAAGTGACGTAGTTACACATTGCATGTACTTACGCTATAATAACAGTAAATGATGCATAACTCCAAGTAACTAACCCTAAACCAAACCCTAACCTTTAAACCTAGTACATGCAGTTAGATAATATTACAATTTGTGTAATTACACTGTAACAACATTACCTTAAGCATGACCAAAATATTAATGAAATAAAAGGTCATTTAAGTGTACTTAAAGAGACACTTTCAAGACTAAGTACACTTTTAAAAGTTTGTGATAATGTCAAATAAAAAGTGATTGAAATCCTTATGTTTGTATCTTTTGTCATGCTTTAAAGAAGTACACTTATTTTAATGTGTTGACATAAAGCACAAATAAAGTACTTAAATGTCAACTATATTTTAATTTAATTGCAAGTGAAAACATTGCATTTGGTTTAAGTGCATTCTTTTAAAGTATATTATTTTAGTAATAGGTACTCTTTTTTTTAAGTATGTCAAGTGTGCTTCCTTTTCACACGGGTAACTTGTCACAGTGAGAAACTGCTGCTTATTGACACATAAACATAATCAGAAAGCACATATTTGTGTAATTTGTAATCTCAGTGATTTACTGAGATATAGTCTTTGTGACAGCTGGCCCAGCCTCTGGATTGAAACTCTCCAAAGCGTTTCTTTGTGTGTGAAAGCCGCCTGCAGGTGAATGTGCTGCTGAATCCAGCATTAAACACCAGCTCTCTCTCATTACACAGCAGAGCTCCTCAAGGCTCCAGTTTATCCATCAAAACACAACCAATCACCGGGATGTACAACATGAAGAGAGTCGAGCTGCAAATCGATGCAATCTTTCAGTTAAAACAGCTTTAATCAACAAAAACCGTATATACGCCAGCTCTGGTTACACAAGCTTTCCTTTGAAATCTATTAGTTCTTCGCTCAGGGACAACACACCAACAGACACACACAGAAGCATGGGAGATACATGGGTGTTATAAGAAAAGATAAAGCTTCCTCTTTTTTCTTTTCAATTTTGTTGTTTCATGTGCAACGTCGAAAAAAAATAACATTTAGCAAAATAATTATTTTGAAAAATGTAGTTTTAAAGTAAATTCAACAAAAAATGACTTCACATGCTAATGCATTATAGCAGTATATTGGGATCTTGTGATCTTGTGACAGAAGAACTGAACATTTTAAACCAAAACGGCTGCTGGTCTATCGTATGGCTTATCACTAAACTAAACTAAACTGAATTACAATAAAATAAAATATCTTCCATCAAACCAATTAACATGCAAAATATTATTTTGTTTAATACACAAAATAATGAGTTTTATAATAAAAAAAATAATGGACCTACATAAGTAATGTTTCTTCCTTTTCAAAATGAGATTTGTTGTTTTAAGGTATGTCATTACAGGTTTTGGTGTTGATTATTATTATTATTATACACTTTTTTTAAATGTCTAAATATTTGGGCATGTAAAAATGTTTTCTTTAAAAAAAAACAGCATTGTCAAATAACATTTAATATGTTTAATATATAACAGAAACAGAACCGGAATAATCTTCTAATTAAAATAATAATTTTCATATCATTCACAATACATCTTCAATTGTAAGTCATATGCCACATCTTCATGCTCCGCTCATGATCATGTCACTAAAATTAATGAACACTAGAGGACAGTGTTGTATTCGCAATAGAAATTGCAATCTACTTTTTAATCTAACCCTTAAAAGCTCTATTATCTTGAATTTAAAACATCATTATGGACATGATAGATAGTATAGTAAGCCGTTGTATTTTAATGAGTTAAACTGGGTCAGCAGAACTGAAGCATTTCATCTAAAAATGTGTTCTGAACTCTAAAACAAACTCAGTTGACTTTACTCTGCCTGACAGTTTAATGAAAAAAATGTATATAGTGTTTCATCTTAAAAAGCTGCAAGATTAGTATACAGTTTCTAGAGTAACTTCCCCACAGCAGACAGTGAAGTATTTCAGAATTCAGACAGGAATTCATTGCGAAAGCTGCATTGCCTCTTTCTCTTCTGCTTATGTAATCATAGCAAACAAGGTTTTCTGGGTCTGTTTTTTTGCACATAATACAGGACTTTTTTTTTTTTTTTTCCATAATTCATTTTAATAATGCAGCCACACAATGCTTTCAACATGAAGCCTTCATTTTAACCCAGTTGATTCATCATATTATTAGTTTAAAATGAATACAAATTATTTTCATTTACCCCTCAGCGCAGAGACCTCAAACACCACTGGACTGAAGAGAAATGATTTTTCTCATACATTTTAATAGATGACTACTAAATTTCCTTTTGACTTAATGGAGCAGAAAGTTTCCTTAATCATGTGAGTTTTCTGAATGACTACTGAATGGTTTAAAGAACTGGTTATGACCTTGGTTAAGTCTAAATTGCATCAGTATCTGGTTTATTATAATAAAATAAAATGGAAATTAAAATTTTTAATAAAACGTTCACTGGAATAAAATATATAAAAAGTTTTATTTCAGCAACTAAATAACTAAAATAACTAAAATGGAAAATAGAATTAATAATTGTCATAATATATATATATTATTATACAAGATATATTATAATTATGATATAATTATATATAAAATAGTATTTATAATTTCTTTACATATAGAATTATATGACAAAAACACACAACAAAATTACTAAAACTTTAACTTTTTTAAACTGATGCAAGATATTAATAAAAACTATAATAGTATATCATTGGTACTAAAATAACACTGATCAGTACACACAATAACTACTTGTTTCTGAATCTCATAAACGTGGACTCAACAGGGAAATAAATAAATACAAATAAATAAATCTTTTTTTTATCTCCAATGAAAATAACATGTACAGATTCACTTCAAAGATTTACCTTATCGTGCTATGCTGCCATGTTGCTTTTTTAAACCAAATGTATATCAAATAAATAAAATAATATACTGACAATTCATAAAATATAGAGATCACACTTTAATAAATTCTAAACTTTCATTCTAATTCCTAATCACATTTTTTGGGTTATTTAGTGGCCTACTTAAAGGCTTGCTTTTTGTGTGTTTGTTTTCATCAGTGTTGGACTGAGAGGGCTCGTGGCGTCATAAGGCAGAGCTGATGACGTCATGAGGTATTTCCTGTGGGGCGGGGCCTGTCGGAGGAGAGCTGATGACGTCATTAGGTATTTCCTGTGGGGCGGGGCCTGTCGGAGGAGAGCTGATGACGTCATTAGGTATTTCCTGTGGGGCGGGGCCTGTCGGAGGGTCAGCAAACACGCGATAAACGCAGCCAGCGGAATACTCCTCTTCACAGCGGAGACACGCAGAATGGACTGTTTGCTGTGATTTGTTTGTGACTGACGGATTTAAGAGAGGCTCTTTTAGGGTTATAGAGAAACAGAAGGATACACATTGACAAAAGACCCCTATGAGGCTTCGAACGTGAAGAGAGAAAACTAGTAATAAAAGCCATAAGGTAAAGTTACCGTCTCAATGCTGCCCGCCGAATGAAAGGACGCAGTTTTCACCGAGGCTTTGTATTATTTTCTTTATAGAAGTGATGAAGTGTTTTTTTTTTTTATCAGATTTAAAGCGAGAAATGTGTGCTAAAGTTGCTTGTGTGGCTCGAGTAACGGTCCGTGCGCAGATATTTTAGGTGGTTTATAAAAAGAGGTTGTGCTTCTGGTAGGTTAGTCCTAAAGCTGCTCACAGACATCTCTTTGGCAGTTTACAGTTTACTGTTTCTGTAGTTTCTAACACAGCAGGGATAGATAAAAACATCTATTTTGTTTTAGATGTTCCATCTGTTTTCTATATCAATATAAATGCAGCACTACATTTGTTGATAGGGAGAATAATATTTATAAGCATTTTGTGCCTATATACTGTTTTCATTTGAGTGGAGAGTTATTTAAACTGTTTATTATTTATTTATGTATTTATTTCTTTCTTAGTCTAGGGCAAAAGGGACAAAGGAACGATGACGTAGGCTATGGAACGTCTGAAAGTGTCATTCTACATTCAGCTCTAGAGCTCAAGCTGTAGGCTTCATGTGCAACTTGATTTGGACTTTGAAAAATAATTCTAAGAATCATATTTTTCGATTCACATAGGCTACATTGTAGAAATAAGCCATGAAATAAGAAATAAACAATTAGAAGTACTCTGCTTTCATGACTATGTAATGAAGTTACCTAAGAAAACAGATGAGCAAATTCATCTAACAGTATTTAAACACAAGCCATGGTGTTGATCTGGACTATACAGTACAGAATGACTGTATACTGTATCTACAGACGTTTCTCCTTTTACTGTATGACTAGGGTACATATTGGACACAAATGGAAACATGAGTGAGAGAAACACACACACACACAAAGATATTTGTCATGGTTTCTGTTTAAAATCAGTTTCTCGAATATGACCAAAGCAAGTTTGTTTCCTAAAGCTGACATGTTCCTTTGAAATGTCAGTACGAAACAGACTGCATTGATTAATTGGACGCAGTGACAGCCTTGTACCCATTTTAATCTGAAAAGGACGTCTGGCTGCTTATACCATTTCATATAGTTAATCAATATCACACGAAGAGTGCCGTTTTTTTTCTCTCCAAAAATGTGATATTGAATTTTTACAACAGTTCAGTAAACAATAAGTTCATTTAGAGACTTACGTTTTAGACACCATACTGCCTGTTTTTGCTCTATTTCTGCTCTATTTTGAGAATAAAAATAATTCCAAAACAAAGCCACAACACTGTTGTGCGTCTCTGAGCAACATGACAGCAGTTTCGTTCCTGAATGAATCAACCGTTAAAATGATTCGGTTCAGTCGCAATGACTCACTTAGTAGCAGTGACTTGCTGCCACCTACTGGCGGTTTTAATTTCACATTTAAAGTATCTTTTAATTTTTTAAATCATTTCAAATATCAGTATTCAAAGATTTATGTTTAATATATCAAAACATTATGCATTTGTAACTGAGCTGCATTAAACAGTGTGTAAATAGATCTAAATGCCTCTTCAGATGCAGCTTCTGTGTTTCCTCTGCATTGCAAAGATGAATTTTGTCGATACTGATTTCATTTTCTTGGTAACAGCCCGAATGTCTTATTATTCTAATTCACTGATTAAATGTAAGAATTTGACTCAAATGATGATGCACACTTTTCGAAAAAAAAATGGCTTTATAAAGGTAAGAATGCCCATAAAAGGTAAAAATCTATTTAAACTTATTGGAAAAGATTAATTTCTGTCACTGCTGTGAACTGACCACCACACAGAATATGAAGAATATCCAAAAATTTAGGAGTCCGCTGTCCATGGCAGTCCTTAAGATATCAGCACAATAACACACTCGGCAAAATATCGTTATCGATAAAATCCCAGAAAATATTTAGATATTATTTTTTGTCAATATTGCACACTCCTAGTGTGTGGTCAGTAGCATTTGTTCACTGACGGTACATGACCTCTGACCTTCACAACAGCTGCTGGACAGAAGAAAAAAAACTTTATTATTAGACCTTTAACCAGCGAATCCTTTTGACAGATGAGTGCTAAACAGTTGTGTCATCCCTGAGAATGAAAATGCATTAAAATTAAATTAAATTGTTGTGTTTCTGCTTTGTTGGTTACTTAAAGATGCTTAAAACAGGTATCAATCATGATTATAACTTTAAATTAGTGGTTAGTTTTTCTTGTGAAGTTTATGTGCAAGTGGACACTTGTTGACCACTTTCCTTCACTATCTGGTCCAACACATTAAATCTCATATGCTTTTTTTTTCTACAAAATTAATTTCAGGTATTTGAGGTAAAGGCTTCAAGATCAAACGCTCTTTGAAGAGTGTGTCCAAACTTTTCATTGGTGCATTTCTTGTGTATTATGAAGATAATAATGCTTTAGTGTTAGTCTTATTCAAGCACTCTTGTCAGTTCAAATCTTAGCAAAAATATTTATAGGAACGGATCCAGTCATTTTTTTTTTCCAGACCTTGTTTGGCAGTCGTTGTGAACCAGGCTTTGGTCCTGAATCCAGGGAGAAAACCTAAAAAATATGAAATCCAGATTAAAGGTATTAAAAAAAAAAAAAAAAAGGTTAAATATCATTGTAGTAATTTATGTCTACATTACGTAACAATTCAATTTTAAAGCATCCGTGATTTGGGGAGAAAAATTAGAGATTCTTAGTGCATTTCAGTTAATTATTCATGGTATATATCGTAAATTGAATTGGGAGAGCAGACCACAAATGCACAGTATATGTTGTCTTTTTTTTTAATTGTTACAGCAGAGTACAAAGGAAAAAATAAAACAATCCGGAGGAAAAGAATGCAGTGACTGAAAAGAGCTCTTGCCATAGATATTCTTGTTATATTACGTCACATTAAAATACCAAGCGTTACGTTATTCTCCTGAGTTCTGACAATAGTACATGACGGACAATGTACAGCTCATTCAGTCAAACTGACAGAGCAGGATTGTTTGTAGCGCTACATTATGATTTGAAATGATTTGTTTCGATCATTTTGAGTGGAACGTCCCCTAACCAGAAGTGCCTCCCAGAATTTAAATCCCAGTATGGCTCATTAGGAAAAAAAGGTGGATAATTATCTTTCATGGAATACAGACGATTTATTTCAAGAATTTTTTTTTTTTCACTAGGGGCTGTTAAACTCCCCAAAATGACAAAAAAGCACCATAAAAGTAGTCTATATGACAACATGTGCTGTATTACAAGTCTTCATACAAAAGCTTTAAGTGAGGAAAAGACTGAAATTTATCTTTTTTTTTTTTTTTACTGCAAATCTTCCACTGTAGCTTATAAATTGTATTAAATATGCCCATTGAACAAAGTATGATCAATTATACACTATAGTCAAAGAAATTTGGCATCATGACATCAAACCTGGTGTTACGTGTCTTGAAATTTCATATCTGAATAAACAAAAACATGTGAGGATACAAAAGTTATCCGTAAGTTTCACACAAAGCCATGTCTATGGTTTTTGTCATGTTTGGACATTTCTGGCAGTGTCCACAATTATTATAAGTTACTTGGACACTTTGGAGACATTTTTTACCCATTTTCTGATATTGTTTCTTCTTGCAGACCATTTTATGCTGCCTATAAATGTCTCTTTTTTCACATACGTTGCAGTTTGTTCTCAGTGTCTGTTTCTTTATTATTGGGTCGAGACTTAAATCTTAAAACACATGTTTCTGGAGGAACTCGACTCTAAATGCCCCAAATTTTCTTCTCAAAACATTTGGCTTTTTCAGAGAATTGCTCTACAGTAGTATTCATTAATGCATATTTTTTGGCTTATAAAGGATTCAAATCTGTGACCGTGGGCACATTTCTTTTAAAACCTTTTCTCAAATGTATGTTTTCATGTCCAGATAAAGGAGCTCAGAATGTGTGTCTCTCTCCTCTCCACTGGCAATATCTCTTGTTTGATGTTGGTCTGGAAAACAGGCCCCTGTCTAATCTGATCTGCTTCCCCCCCCCCCCTCTCTTT